ACAAGAAATATGCCATCATTATAGATGAGTCTACTGACGTTTTTACTCAAAATCACTTGTGCATTATAGTTCGTTTTTTCAGTGACAGGAAAAATGAAATATTTACTGGATTTTTTTTTGGGGGGGGGGGGGGGGGGGGGGGGGGGGGGGGCTTTAATTTCCTTGCAAGTGGCTACAGGAGAAAAAATATTTAATTTGATTGATAAGGAAATCAAAAGGTGTGGTCAGAGTCTTACAACTTGCATTGGTTTTGCGTCAGATGGCGCTTCAAACATGACCAGGTGCAAGAACTCTGTATAGTCTAGAATTGAAGATGTGTCTCCTTTTTGTGTACAGCTCAGATGTTCCTGCCATTCACTAGCGCTCTGCATTTGTAGTGCAATTGCCAAAGCTGCCATCAAATATTGGTTTCTTACTGTCAGAAACACCTCAGTAGTTTTATCATAGTTATTTAAGATGAGAAGCCTATAAAGAACTGTTTTGGGTGATGAACACATCTACGAAGTTTGAATCAGAACGAACTGCTCCTCTTCCATTGGAAACATTTTGGTGGCTTGTGCGTGGAAAGATTATGTTTAATATGTTAGTGAACTGGGAAGAATTGAAAGCTTATTTCACATGTGCTGAATTAGCCCAGACAACGTTAGACACAAAATATAAAGTAAGATTGTTAAAGAAAATTGTTAGACTACAATAATTATTTGTACTTTGTGTTTGCGACACCAGTTGTACAAGAATTTGAAAGACTGAACAGACTTTTTCAACAATCAAAAGCTGATCCTCTTGAACTACACCAAGAATTGTCCATGCACCAAAAAAGTTTTAAGAACAGAATGTATGATGTCAATAAGCAGAAACAAATATTTATCACGTTGACTTTGGTATTAAATTCATAACGGAACGTAATGCGTTCCTATATAAGAATAACGGGACTGACGCTCAGATATAAATAAACAATGTTAAAGAAAGATGTATGTCTGTGCTAGAAGAAGCTCTCAGTCAAATTACGTGTAGACTTTCCACCGAGAATATATTTCAAAATCTGTCAAAATTGAGCCTTTTGGCAGTTTTAAATCAAGTATCAAGGACACGGTTTTCAGAGCTACCATTTTTACACCTGGCAGAAAACAACATCAGTATTATAGAAGAACAGTACATAAGATTGATTATCGTCAACTGGAAAGAAGAAGCTACATTTAAGAAGGATGGACTTCCTACAAACAGTGAAGATTTTTGGATAGGCGTACTTCGACACGAGTAAAGAGCTGGCCACTTTCTCCCTTACTTGTTTAATAATGCGCATTAGCAATGCAGTTGTTGAGAGAATATTCTATCTTGTTACTTCAATTAAATCAAAAGCAAGAAACAAAATACCACTGGATTTTCTTGATGCAGTTGTCAGAATTAGAGCAGAACTATTGATATGAAAGAAATGTTGCAAATACTTCATCCCATCTGCGAAAATGTTTAAAGATTTTACATCCGAAAAGGTTTACGCTGCATCTTCCACTTGTTCCAGTGAGGATGACAGTGAAGAATTAAATCTAGAGCTTTTGATGTGAAGTGAGTACAATGTTACACTTTGTTTGGCATCTTTTTGGTAGTGGTTTGGCATATCTGGCAACCTTGTTGCTGCGCTCTGAGAGTTATATCCCGTTTGTTGGAAATGTAAAAAGAAGAATCGCGGAGAAAAGGCTAAAACATGAGGTATTCGAAATAATGGATTCATTTACTTAATTAATTGGTAGTAATTGTGCCACGTAGAACATAGAGGCAGTTTTTGCAACGAAAAAGGTGATATATACATTCCAGACTATCACCAAAAAGAGGTGGCAATCAGTGTATAGGCAGCTAATGAGAAATAAAGCTTTGCTTTGGCACGCCGAGGATTAATTGCATACAAATAGTAGGATTAAATTCAGCTATAAATGATAAATAATAATTTAATATAGTAATATGCGTCCAGCAACTTGCAGGTTCTTGATTCGTTTTGTAAAATAGAATTCCTAAAATAAAAAAAAAGGAGAGAATTGAAATACTTTGGCCACATTAAAAAAGAATTACACGTTTAAAAAAAAAACTTGAGGATGTTGAGATGACAATGGATAACGTTACAAGTATTACAAGTGGGAAGGCAACATTAACATATGGACGAGATAGATAGAACTAAGAACGTGAACGTGTTAAAGATCCATTCTCATTACGGACAACCTTTAATGTGGAGACAGCAACAGATTGATTTGCTTTCTCAGTTTAAGTAAAACAAAATTAAAGGGGTATTTTTGCGTTAAACATCAATTGAAATGTTACATATGTGTTGTTGTTAAAAAGGTATAAAATAAGCAGTTAAAATAAGTATTCACTATATTTATTCAAGAATTTCGTTGAGTCAAGAATTGACATCACACAGCATTCCCTTGTATGCTCCGTCCTTATCTTCAGCAGCTAGTGCGAACTTCCAATCAATACAATACACGTAATCTGGTTATATGTCCATCTTGCCTTTCGTCTGAGTGAAGTGAAGTGAGCCTGCCAGACCCTCTGGTTACACCCAGGTGTCTCCTCATTTCCCACTACAACTATTCCACGAGCACACTCTTACATGGTTGAACCCCCATCCACTTTGATTTTTTTCCCTAAATCTCCTGGCTCCCGTCCTTCTATTTCTCTGCTTTCTTGTCTCACCATTTACTCGTTTTCTCTTCTTCATGACTAAAAAGATTATAATCATGTTTGTGTCTCTTTGTGGTGCCGGTTTCAAATGAGGAATTAGATCTTTGTCTGGTTTTGTAATCTGGCTATTTCTTGACAGTTTGTGTTTTTTTTTTTTTTGGGTCATTGTTGAGAAGTTGAGACTTGCATACAAAATTGTCTATTTTGTTTTTAAATAGTGCGGATACAAACAATTAATTGCCAGGCATATTTCGCTGTATCTCATCAGGTAAAAAAAAATTTTTTTGTATCTGCATTATTTAAATTCATTACTGGAGAACATTGTTTTGAAAATTGTGTTTTTGCCTATTACAGAACAGTGGAGCGTGGACTTTCAACCAGCTTGCACCACCCTCATACAGCTTACCTATGTCCCCCCTTCCCATCCTTATTCACCTTAGGCTTCAATTTTTAGGTGGAGACAGACAATTGCTACTGCACCGCTTTCTGAATCAGACTATACATTTTTTAAGAGTAGCAATTTTGTAGTCCTGTCCTGCTGTTTATTATGTCACACATGGCTGCCATTCTGTTCCTCCATTCCATTCTATCCTATCTATGCAATCCTTTGGGTAAAATTCCTTCCAGCATTTAAGTGCCTGCTTGGTTATTTGTTTGTTGTTTGCATTCATCGGTTGTATATAGACGAAAAGACCTGGTTGTCCATCTATTTCTGGACTGGCTTTGTTCCAGGACCTGAGTTTTGCATGTACATCCGTTTTACAGATCTTGCTATTTGTATGCAGACTGTTGGTTTCTTTCCTCTCGTGCAAATGCACTCTGACTTTGAAGGAAGCCTCCAAATAGTTAACTCTTACAACATGCTTGTTGGGAAGGCAGTGGGTCTGTTCTTGTTTTCCCCACAGTAGGACCCTGGGAGGATGCCTGCTTGAGGATTCTATACTCGTTTCTTCTCAGGATGTATCTAATATAGCTAACATTTTTTGTGTGTCTTATAACTGTTGCTACCAGAAGGTTCTTCACCTCTCAGGTGGGTGAACGACTTTAAAAGAAACACCCTTAATTAGCCATCTTTTATGACATGCTTGTTGGGGGAGGTAGTGGGTCTTTTCTTTCTGCCCTCAAAATGGGGCCCCAGAACCCACACAGTGAAGTGCTTGATAGCCTTTCACTGTGTTCTTTTAAAGGTAAAGTCCGGAGATGTGAACCAGCATCATTGCACACAGTTATAAACCATAAGTGCTCTGCCACCAGTATAGACAAAGCTTATAAGAAACTGTCCGCCTGTGTCGCCGTCTGCACGCACCTCCCTAGCTACAGCAACATTCCTCCATTTACCCCAGAGTGTTAACTCTGGTACTTATTACCTAGAGGCTGGGTGAATCCCAGGAACCACCCGGTTTCAAACACCGGCCGTGGGCTGCAGCGAGTCGCAGCTGAATTTGAAAATGAGTCTCCTAATTCTGTTAATCCTTATGCTGACACTAACACATTGTCTTGTTTCTAGCCAACCACTTTTCTTTTAACCCAAAGAGTCAGGAGCTTTTCTTGGCAATTAATCTTTTTCAAACTTAATTAGAATTTTATCCAGCGTAATAATTTAAATATGTATTTATAAGCGATTTTTGTGTGCATTTTTCTGTCATTGTAGCACTTTTTTTTTTATATTCTTGTTTACTGTGTTCAGTGTTTTAATAAATGATTTGGTTATTCAATCACAAGATTCAGCATGTTTGGTATTTTCAACATTCTTTAAAAATAACGTCAAAGTTCCCTGATTCCAGTACATTTCATCGCTCTCATAATATCTCATAAAATCTCTGTAATTTTATGTCAAATCTGTTATATTTCTGACATCTATAACGTATCTTATGAATGTAATTATGTGTTTAACGTACATTCTCTGTGATAAATTACAGATGGGTAGTAGATGTTGAGGCCTGTCTTTTGCTATGAAATAAAATGTGTGTAAGCAGGATATGAAGGCTACAGGTATTGAGGTAGATTCATGGAAATGGGAGGTCATTGACTATTTTGGGGAAAATCAGGGAGAGAGATAAGGAAGAACATGATTACAGATGGGGTTAAGCACTGATTGTCTGAGAAGAATCACGTTAAGTACATGCGATGGCTACAGTGTCCTGAAATTCCATGCTGTAATTGTGATAGACTTGTCTTAAGGCTGTGATTCCTAGGTCTCCAATTAGTATAATACAAAACTATCATCTGGAAAAATCTAAAGGTGCCAACAACAATTTATAATGACATTTATGTTTGTCTTAGTCTCTTTTCCTTCTGAATTTTACAGATTCTAACCATCAACTATAATGGAATGGGTATCAATGCTTGCCGTGCTTACAACAGTCACATCTGTTCTATGCCAGCTTGTGGGAGTGTAAGTGTATTTGATAAAGGATATTTTTATATTTTGATAGGATATTTTGTCTCTTTGAGATAGGATATTTTGTTATTTTGATATAAAATATTTTGTCTCTTTGAGATAGGATATTTTGTTTATTTTGAGATAGGATATTTTGTCTCTTTGAGATGGGATATTTTATCTCTTCTTTTATGTCTTATAACATTGGCCTGACACTGAATGCTGCCTTTGATGTTGTATCTGTTGAGAATATAAATTCTTACACTGAAAACCTGTTTTCTGAACATGTCACTGTTTCATAAATCTTAACATTATTATCATAATATATCATACTGATAGGTATAGGCTATCATGAAAATTGAAACATGTTGAATTTAGGTTACCGCAGTTCTCACACAAACAAAAATAAATTGACTAAACTTAAACTATGATAAGGAGTCTACCAAATTTGGATTTCAGGACCCCATTATTGTGAGGGAGAAAGAATGGACCCACTCCTCTGCAAACAAGCTGTAAGGCTAAAAGGTGACTAATTAGAGGTGTTTACTTCAGTCGAAGTGCATCTACCTGAGAGGCCAGGAACCAACAGTCTGCATGAAATATGCCAGATCTGTAAAATAGGTGTGCACACATAACACAAAATTTGGAACAAGACTAAAGTTCTGAAGTGGATGGACAACCAGAAAAAAAAATAGGAAGCCTAATTAGCGGATACAACTAATCGATCTGGCCTTTATCTACTAAAACAAGGAGGAGAAGAATCGTGGGTCCTTGCTGTAAAACAGGAAAGTTGCAAAGAGAAAGTAATAGAATGGGAATTAAAAAAGCTTAGGATCCTTCTTCTTGTTGAATTAATAGTTAATAAAGCTCATTTGTATCTGTGCATATCTCTTCCTGTTGCCGTGGTGTAGCGGCTAGACGCTGGCCTGCGGATCGGAATGTCGTGGGTTCAGGTTATGGCGGAGCCGGCACCAGGTGCAGTCCTGGAAAATAAAGGCTGCTGGCGTGGTGCTGACCACATCACCCACACAAAACAGCAGGGTCTGTCTAAGTCAGTACAAGAACTCAAGACTTGTGATTATGTGAGATGTTGAACCGTGCTTACTCTTGTGTATAAGCATTGTTTGTGATGAGGATGATGGCTAACTGTTATCAGTTAGCAGGTCCTTTGCAGAATGTCACCATTGTCACGACTCGCTTGAAAGTCTCTCTGTCTCTAGCCATTTGTTAGCCCTATGTGCTTTCATAGTCAATGCATCTTCAGTGTCTTGCATCCATGGTCACTGAGGTTTGCCTCTGCTTCATTTTTGGGACACCGTACCCTTAGTCACTATTCTCTCCAGGCCACAATGACTTTTAACATGGTCAGAATACCTCAGCTTTCAGGGCAGGGTGCTGTTTATGAGCCAATTCTTCTTGATGACCAGATCATGTAGGATGTTAGTGTTTATTCTAAGACAGTTTCTAAAGCATTTCAGTTCAAAAGCTTCACTTTTTTTTAAATTTATTGATTGAGTAAGAGTCTGTGACTCACATTCGTAAAAGTTGCCACGTTAAAGATGCATAATCTCAGGATTTTTTACTTTAATCTGCTTGCAAGTGCTTACTGCCATAGGAGAGTGACATTATGAAATTTTACAGTTACTTTATCTTAGCCTTTTGAAGTGGGGTGACAAACTCCATTCTTTATTATTACACATCCTTCCTAGTTTTTTTGTTTTTAAATATGTTTAAAACCCATTTTATGAAGGTAACTCAGCTAACTCTACAGTTGTAGGCAAGAGACATAAAAATATGTCCTTAAATTTGGATTGAACTTATTCTACTGTGTACTTTCATGACTGATCATCAAAGCAGGTAAAGCACATTATACTGGTAAATAAATGTCATCTTTTCTTGCCTGCCTTAGAAACAGCATTATTGATAATTGTGTTTGCCAACCCACAAATGTGTCATGCTTAATCCATTGCTCTCATCTCTCCCATGCTTATGTTTTTTTTTTCTCCCATATTTCTTCTTGGTATTTATTATATGCATGTTATTATGTGATCATAACACGTTTTATTTATAATATACAACTGCTGTGTGAAAGGTGGTTGTTTGGAAGGGCCGAATATAAGACGGGCCTGTGTGCCCAATTTGTAACCCTTTGAAAATAAAGTTTGCTCATTTGTTTGTTCTCTATATCCTCTTCAATGTTGATACATAAGGCATTCACAAGAGATCGATATTGCTGCTGGTATGTTGCTGTGGTATTCCATGCATTTCATATTCCTACATTTCCCTTTCCTCTTCCCTTTATGTCTTGGTTTCCTTAGATCATCCACGTCTCCTTTTTCTATTTGCCATCAGTCAGAGAACTCTTTGCCAGATTGTCACGCGGCATTCTGCAAACATGTCTAAGTCATTTCCATCTTCTGTCTTTAAGAACTTGTATCAATGATATACATTTTGTTTTCCTGCTTAGTTTTCCATTTGTAATCTTGTTTGGCCAAAGTATTGATCCATACCCACAGAGTAATTATAGAATAAATAAGTTAATAATTTTTTCCCCCCTGGTCCAGTGTTTGTACTTCATGTATCTTGTATTAATCCCCTGTTCTTCTTCTCTTCTGCCATTTACCTTGCGAGGTGTTGGGGGAGATGTAAGGATCGTTTGTGCACTTTTTTTAATTCATTGTACAATTTGGTGTTCATTTCTGGTTAATTGCTCCTGATGATGTTGCTCCATCTCTTGCATGGTCTTCCCCTTGCTCTATGTTCATTATATTTCTTCGGCGTGGCTCTCCGTGGCAGTTGGTACCAGGGCATTATCTCCAGTGGCCAAACCCTCTCATTTGTTGTTCTTTAATGAATTGTATGACTGGTTTCAGTCCTAGTCTTCTTCTAATTTCTTCATTCCAGATTTTATCTCTTCTTGTCACACTGGCAGCTCTCCTAGGACATCTCATCTCAGTTGTTATGATCTTCCACTAATTTGTTGTAGTAAGATTCTATGTTTGGCACTGGTAGCAAAATGTCGGCCACAAAAATCCCTTATGAGATTTGCTTTAGTTGACAGAGTTATCTTTCTATACCCATTTTAATGCCCAGTAATCTATGTACTGAAGTAAATTGTATTATATTGTATTTTTATAGAAATAAAATAAGTATGATTGATCAAGGCATATTTTGTTCTGTTTCAGAGAAATATGTTTTAGGATTGTCCGGCAAAGAAGTACAGGTGATGTGTCTGCAGTTCCTTTCATTGCATTCTTTGTCAGGTATGTGCCTTTGGCTTTTGTAACACAGCTGATAACAGTTTTATAGTAGCATAACTCATACTCGAAAGCATAGGTCAATTATTCTTCGGTCATTACAGAATGGATGAAGTTGTAGAGATGAGGGGAAGCGGGAGTAGCACTGGATAATTCAGAAGTAAAGAAATCTGTTCTAAACCTTGTGTTATGTTTGGTGTCTTCTTCTTCTTCTTCATATACAAGCTAGATATTGTGAGGGCCTTTTGGGAACGAGTGAACAGAGCAGAGGCGCAGATAGATCATTACGGTCTGAAGATAATGTCGCTGCGAGGAGTTACTAGGGGATCTGGCCAAGGCTCAACTCAGGGTAAGGATGAGACAGATATACAATCAGACGGTTTCTGGTGGCATCGAAAGTGGAACTCTTCACTTGCTGCTAAAGGTGGGGACAGAGCACTTATTAAAGTGTCCCGAGTGCTGTGATGTCGGTTCTTAATTAACATTCTTCTTCACATTCACTGGCTGTAGACTGGTATGGGGCTGAAGTACAAACTGATGATGAACAGTAGACAGCTATTTTGATGTATATTCTGTCTATACAATGCCTGTGTGTAAGGGAAGGATGGACTGAGTGTGAACAATAGACGGCAATTTTGATGTACATTCTGTCTTCACAGTGAGTTTGTGTGGGTGAAGTGTGGACTGATTGTGAACAAAAGACGATTATTTTGATGTATGCATTTTATTTTCACAGTGCCTTTTGAACAGCTATTTTAATATTCTATCTTCACAGTCCCTGTGTGTTAGTGAAGTATGGACTGATTGTAAACAGTGGATGGTTATTTTGATGTTTATTCTATCTTCACAATGCTGTGATGTGGGTGAAGTATGGACTTATTGTGAATAGTAGATGGTTATTTTGATGTATATTCTATCTTCACAGTGCTGTGGTGTGGGTGAAGTATGGACTGATTGTGAATAGTAGATCGTTATTTTGATGTATATTCTATCTTCACAGTGCTGTGGTGTGGGTGAAGTATGGACTGATTGTAAACAGTAGATGGTTATTTTGATGTATATTCTATCTTCACAATGCTGTGGTGTGGGTGAAGTATGGACTGATTGTAAACAGAAGATGGTTATTTTGATGTTTATTCTATCTTCACAGTGCTGTGGTGTGGGTGAAGTATGGACTGATTGTGAATAGTAGATGGTTATTTTGATGTATATTCTATCTTCACAGTGCTGTGGTGTTGGTGAAGTATGGACTGATTGTAAACGGTAGATGGTTATTTTGATGTATATTCTATCTTCACAATGCTGTGGTGAGGGTGAAGTATGGACTGATTGTAAACAGTGGCTGGTTATTTTGATGTTTATTATATCTTCACAGTGCTGTGGTATGGGTGAAGTATGGACTGATTGTAAACAGTAGATGGTTATTTTGATGTTAATTCTATCTTCACAGTGCTGTGATGTGGGTGAAGTATGGACTGATTGTAAACAGTAGATGGTTATTTTGATGTTTATTCTATTTTCACAGTGCTGTGGTGTGGGTGAAGTATGGACTGATTGTGAATAGTAGATGGTTATTTTGATGTTTATTCTATCTTCACAGTGCTGTGGTATGGGTGAAGTATGGACTGATGACAGACAATAAGAATGTGATCCTCACCAGTGGCCAAGCAACCATTCTACAGTTTTTATACATCTGTATCTACTACGCTTACACTTCTCAGAAGGTAGAAGTCATGAATTGAAACAGTTTAGCTGTAATAATGTTAGCTTATACATTTTCTCTCTCAGAACCACACCAGGACATCACAATAAGCAATAAACGTCCGGTGACACAAGATGCCACCATGCCGGATCAACCGTGGAGAGGTCCCAGAAACCCCGTTCAGCCGTTAGGCCATATTTCAGGCCCAGCTATATTTAGCGCCCCCCGGCAAAAGCCAGGGTGGGGCTTCAAAATAACTAAAAATTGCATCCAATAAGTGGATGGTCATATTAATTAGCTTATACAGTGAACACTTCGCAAAAGATAGTAATGATCTGTTGAAACAGTTTAGCTGTAATATTAGCTTATTCAGTAAACACTTCACATAAGATATTTGCGATCTGTTAAAGTAGTTTAGCTATAATAACGTCAGCAGTTTAGCTCTAAAAATATTTGCTTATTCGGTAATAGAAGTTATGGTTCCTGGGGAGAAGTGTTGGGGTTTACCAGCATAATGGTGGATACAGAATATCAGCGAAACACTGGGCACTTATGAAGCAGGAAAAGAGGGGGGCAGAGCAGAATTCTGGCATGTTGCAATGAGAGCAATGTTCTGCAGAAGACCTGCTATGAGTTAAACATTAGCCCAAGTGTCCACATTTAACCTGGCATAACTATCATTAGTGCTTTAACTCGTTAGTTCCATGTTTTGCTTGAAAATTCTTACTTTTTCTGCCATGTTTAATTAAACAGCAGTGTTGGTTTCTTATCAGTCACTCTAGTAGTGACCCATGCTGGGTAAGGGACCAAGGACATAATGTCCGTCAGCCAGGTGTCACCTTGTACGACCTGACTGCCTCAATAGAATGAAAGCTGTAGCTGGGATATGTAGAGTTTATTGGTGTTTGCTGACCAGGTGATGAAATAAAGAAGACATTTGACGAGATGTTTGCGACAGGAAAAGGCGAACACACATCAGATGTTGTTTAAGACTGAAAAAGATTATACTTGTGACATTTCAACAAATTTCTGAATCACTAAATACAGAAACATGGACACCCAGAAAATATAAATAGAATAGTTTACAGCTCACAGCACTAGAGTTGTACTATGCTTTTTTATACTAAAACACTGAGATGACCTTATAGTCTGTCATTTATTTTGCATTTAAGTGGCTAGTAACAGTATGTCACTGGAGAGTTAGAGGAGAAGATAGAATAATAAAACTGTAACACTATATGTTGTTGTAAGAGGTGATTAAACAAGGTTGACAGATTACTGACTGACTCATCCCAAGGAAAATGTTGGCTGTAAAATTTTAAGCAACAGTGAACCAGTTTTTTTGTGGGTTTTTTTTTCAAAGGAAAGAAGAATAACTCAAATTGGTCATTTTAGATAAAGCTTCTCCTAGAATATATATGATACCATGTAGAGAAAGTTGTGAGTAGTGGATCACCTCTTTTCTTCTTCCTGTGTTGTCTCACTGATACCAGGTTGTAGCCCAGTGTCCTGGTTTTCTGTATTTGTCTTGCACTTTTCGGGTGGCTTGTAAGAGTATAAATGGTAGAGTAAGAAGATAGCAACATTTTTTTTTATTTACTTTTAAACATTTTTAAAAAATCTTTTACATTCTTCTTCAGCGATTCCTCACTGGCATGATTCTAATAGGACTCATAGGTTTAGTTGTTCCATTTGTCTACGTGACCTACTTTGAGAATGAGGCTGACATAGCTGTGCGCAATCTTGGACTGTACTGCTGCTTTCTTAGTGTCATTGTTTATGCTTCACCTTTAGCGACATTGGTAAGTATTTTGTAAAAGGTTTGTATGTTTTCGAACAAGCATTTTACACCAGAATAAAATAGGTTGAGTTGTCCCAATGAATGGGAGTCGCCGTGGCCGAGCGGCTAGACGCTCGCCGCAGATCGGGAGGTCGTGGGTTCGCTCCCTGGCGGAGCCGGGACTTTTTCAAAAAAATGACCTTGGCTCACAGGTCGACCCCGCCTTGAGTGGGTACAGGGTGCAGTCCCGGGAAGTAAAGGCGGCCGGCGTGATGCGGACCACATCACCCATCTTGTGCCGATTGGTCTATAAAAATATAGGTCTAGCAAGCAGAGCATACAGCCGCACTTGGAATATGGGTCAACTGCATGGTGTTCAGCATCTAGTACCACATTAAAGGAGTTGGACAAAGTGCAAAATCAAGTACTCAGAGTCATCACAGGAGGGATGAAATCAACCCCTATATTAGAAATGGAGAAAGCTGGGAAAACACAGCCACTGAGAGAACGCAGAGATACAAAGTTGCAAATACATGCTGAAAAGTTTCTCAGTATGCCAGATCACCCCATGAAAAATAGATTTCAGAACCTAGCCTTGGGACGGTTAAAAAGAAGCAGCTTTATATACATCAAGCGAAAAGAATATGTAGACAAACTGCTGACCTTCCAGAAATTGGTTGTCCACTTAACAGTATTCCAGAACAAACCCCATGGAGAGAGAAATGCAAACTAACAGTACAAATCCAGACAAATGTGAAAAGAATATTTGACAAGAAAGAACAAGATAGTGTACAATGCAGAATGGCCACCCTCAGTTATATTGATGAAGAATACCCACAAGAACAATAGGTCAAAGTCTATACAGATGTGTCTGCACAAAGTGCAGTTAGAAATGGTGGTGCTGGAGTGTACATCGAATTCCCAGATGGTACTAGGGATAAGTCCAGCATACCAACCGGAAAGTACTGCCATAACTATGATGCAAAAACTCAAGCTATCAAGATAGCAACAGAGAAACTGCTAAATACCAATCTTGGCTCGCAGTATGTGGTAATGCTGACAGATGCAAAATCAGTACTTGAAGCACTCCAGTCTAGGAAACTACCAGAATTGCAAACACTGCTGACACAACTTAGCCTTCAGCAAAGAGTTGTAATGCAGTGGATACCATCACATTGAGGAGTGCCTGGAAATGAGAAAGCTGATCAACTGGCAGGAGAAGGTGCGACAAAAGTGCAGCCGGATGTACCAGTCACATACCACCAAAAGAAAAGAATCATTAAATCAATCAGGAAACCACCTGCCCCAGCACAAGACGATTATTTTATTTTGGACAGATTAGAACAAGTCATTATACTCCGCCTCAGAACAGGGCACAACCGATTACGTAACCACATGTACACAAAATTCAAGATAGGCGTATCAGCCATGTGCACCTGCGGAAAGGTGCCCCAGACAGCATAGCATGTACTCCAGGACTGCACCAAATTTGACACATTAAGGCAAACCTTTTGGCTAGAAAGAACAGCAGTGGAACGAAAACTCTATGGACCACTGAATGAATTAACAATAACAGTGAAATTTATACAAGAGACAAAATTGCTGTTATAGACAACTTATTTCAGGCGAACGGAAGAAAAAGAATAGGTCTAGCCCTATATGCCCTATACGCCTAAAGGCATGGAAAAGGGTCCTTTACTTTTTTTTTCCTTATGAATGACTAATAAAAATCTGATCTAGATGGTTGGTAAGCTGAATTGTAAAATGTAGTTTTGTTTCATAATTTAATATTAACCCCCCCCCCCCCTTCCCCCGTATTACATTATTACGTATTACGTTTCATTACACACATACACATTTATATGCATTCTCTTCATGTCACTGCTGACGCATAAGGCATTCACAAGTGGTCTCCATTTCTGTCAGTCTTCTGCTTTTTTGCCTAAGATATCCCATGTCATTTTGCATTTCTTCATTTACATTTCTGTTCTCCTTCTCCTTCATCCATGACTTCTTTTCCATCCACAATTTGTCTGACACCTCTCTTTGCAAAGGACCTGCTACCTGTTTTATTTATAATATCAAATAACAGGTTCTTTGCAGAATGTCCCTCATCTTGGTACAGTGGAAAGCTACTCAGTCCTTTGGCAACTTTCCCACCACCACATAAATATTCATACCCAGGCTGTTCTTGATATTGGGTATGTACCACTGAACTGGTCGAATGCTACCTCTTCTTCCAAGAACCATACCCTCTGTTACTATTCTGTCCCGACCATTGTGGTGTTTAAAGTGGCCACAGTATTTCAGTTTTCCCAGAAACAGAAGTGACTGTGAGCCAGCTCCCATCTATGCCAGAGTTTTTCCTCTTCTTGGTCCTTAATCCTCTAAGAATCTTCCTTTCAAATGTTTGCACACTCTCTTTTCTGGGGTTTCTGACTAGAAAACTTTGTGAGAATATCCCAATGTCAGTTCTGATTGCATGCAACATTTCCAGGACAAACATTTATTAATGCTATTTTGTACACATTCAGGAAAGTAATAAACTTCTTCCACACATATTATGTTACCTTTGAATAAAGAAAAGAAAAGCAACACATTACACAGTTTATTGTCTCCCATATTTGATCTCATCCCGTGCATATATTATGGAAATAAACAATGTAGGTGAACAGTTGTGTTAAACTTACTGAAATACTTAATTTTTAATTTACATTTATATAATGAATTTTGATATATGAACATTATATGCTTGATATATAAAATGCAACTACTGTGTGAATGATCAAATGATTCAAAAGGCCAAATGTAAGACGGGCCTGCGTGTCCAGTTTGCAACCCTTTGGAAGTAAAGTTTTGTTCATTCATACACTTGCATAGACACCAGTATATTATTAATGTTGAGCTCTGGGAGAGAAGTAAACAAATTCATGTGAATGAAGAGGGGAGGAAAATACATTGGAGGTGGATAGGACACGCATTGAGAAAACCTGAGAACAATATAATGTCTTTGCACTGGAACCTACAGGGGCATAGGAAGAAAGACAGGCCAAAAACACATGAGAAGGGAGCTAAAGAGTGAAGTTAATGAGATAAGTGCAGCATGGGTTGAGCTGCATTCAGTAGCACAGGATAGCACGACTTGGCCTTAGTTGGTTGACTGCCTGTGTGTGCTTCTACTGGGGGTGGGGGGGGGGGGGCAAATAGGAAGAAAACACTTATAGACTAGTGTGATCAGGGTAACTACAAACAGACTATATTATATAAATATAATAAACAAACAGACAGTGTTTTAATGGCACTCATAGAAAGATAGAAGGACACACAAGACAACATAAATTTGAAAGCTTCAGTTACTGTGCCAGGAATTGAAGCTGTCGCCTCCGTATGGCATGTGCACCTCACAACCTAATACATGTTTTTACTTTTACTTCATTTCTTTTTTGCGTTCACAAGCTGTAAACCCCAGCAGAAAGTTCTGGTTTTTCGTCCACCTCTGGACTTTAGTAGTCTTGTTCCAGAATTTGAGTGCTGTGTGCACATCTGTTTTAGAGATCTGGCTTATGTATATGCAGATTGTTGATTCCTTGCCTCTCAAGCAGATGCACTCTGATTTTGAAGGAAACCCCCAGTTGGCCGACTCTACTACATGCTTGTTGGGGAGACATTGGGTCTATTCTTCTTTTCCCCACAGTGGGGCCCTGGAACCCACACCGAGATTTACTTCATTTCATTTGAACAATTTAACACATGTTTTTACTTTTACTTCATTTTATGTGAACAGTTTAATACATGTTTTTAACTTTTTTCTTAATCCTGTTTCTTTTATCTGGTAGACGGAAGTGGTGAAAGAAAGATCAACTCATTCTATATCACTGCCTTTATGTTTCTTCAACTTTCTGTGTGCAGTAGAGTGGACATTGTATGGACTAGCAATCAGTGACCAAATGTTGACAGTAAGTTATTATTTACATTGACATTTGCAATCTTTTTCTTCAATTTATCTTTATATGGAGTTAAAGTTCTCAACCACCTCATGGAAAGCCCTCTTTTTCCTTGGTAAATGTTTCCATTTCAGTTCAGTTACGCACATTATCATTGCTGCACTCTTATCTCCTCCATAATAAATCAGCATATGTTGATGACTGTCAGTTCTGTAATGATCAACTGTTTCATCAGCTCTTCTGCTGCTTCTTCGCATTTACCGGCTGTAAACTCTAGCGGAAAGTTCTGGTTGTTCATCCACTTCTAGACTTGAGTCTTGTTCCAGAACTTGAGTTTTGCGTGTGCATCCATTTTACAGATCTGGCTTATTTGCATGCAGACTGTTGGCTCCCTGCCTGTCAGGTGCTAACTTCAGTAGCCTAAGTTTTTTGCATCTGAAATAATTTGTTATTACTACCCTTGTATTTTGGCTTCCACTGGCTCCATTGCAAGAGGACAATGAAAATCCTAGATCTTAAAGCTAAATAAAGATTAAAGGATCCCTTTCCACGCCTTCAGGGGTATTGAGTAAATAGGGCTAGACCTATATTTTATAGAACAAATGTCACTGGGTGGGTGACATAGTCAGCATCAAGCCTGTCGCCTTTACTTCCCAGGACTGTACCTGGTACCCACTCAAGGGTGGATCAGCCTGGGAGCCAAGATCATTTTTTGAAAAAAAGTCCAGCCTCCTAAAGCTAAATGCTTCTCCCTTTAAAAGTATTCAGAAATCTAAAAGTGAGTGAGAAAGAAAGATTGCTAATTATTTCATTATCTAACATCTTGTGTCAGATATTCTTTTCTTTGATTAGTCTCCTATTTTCATCTGATGCACTTAAATAATGTTTATTTCATATCTTTATTTCTTTTCAGATTCCTAATGCTCTTGGAGTAGTGCTGGGGCTCGTTCAGTTCTTCCTGTTTTGTTTTTATGGATGTCAGCATAAAAGTTCTAAACCTATTTTAGGTTGATAGACTGCATGAATTGTTACTTCAGAATATTCCAGCTACATCAAAAGTCATGAACTCAAGATCAGCTGTCACCTCCTCAAACAATTTATTGAAGCCTCAAAGTTTGTTTTTACAGAAGTGTGCCTAAAATGCCTTGGGGAGTAAAAATGAGTAACCCTGATGTTTTGCAAGAGGGAGGGCTTGGAAAGAACTTATCACAAATATCAGATGACAACAGTCATCATTTTTTTGGGATCATGTTATAGAAGAGGGAAACTGAAACATGTGACGACTGGAAAGTTTTGGAGAAAGAGAGGTAGAGAAAGACAATGCGAGAGAATTCTTGACAGCCTTTATATATATATGTATATATATATGGTCTATCTTCTTACTGATGAAGACTTGAGTACCATTTAGAGCACAGAGATTTATTGATCATCATCCTTACCCAAATTGCTAGCTTTTGTGACCTTTACCAGTGTCCTAATTGTAACTTCTTTGGAGTTTAAACAAGGTATTTATGTTTTGCCTGGTTGGTCAACTGTCCAGACTGAAATTTTTAAATGTCATTAGGATATGATAAACTTTTAGGAGCAGCCCGCTAGGAATAATTCGATCAGTTAGCCTTATTAATTGATTGTAGGCACTAAATAGTAATTTGTCACTACAAAGTGAGTTAACCACAGTGTTTGCAAACCTGTGGTTTACTACATCCAGTTTCCACAAGTAGTTGAGTTAAGTCAAGAATTGATATCACAGCACTCAGGGCATTCCCATACATGCTGCATCCCCATCCTCGGCAGCCAGCGCAGAGTTCCAATTCTAATGGTGCCGGTCGTCGTCTAGTTGTATGTCCGTCTTGCCTTTCCTCTGAGTGTAGTGTGGCGGCTGAACCTTCTGGTCACACCAAGGTGCATAATTCTCTTCAGCCTATAATAATCTTGTTTCTCTTCTGACTTCGTTGTTTATTCCCAAAGAGCTCTGACCACATCTGTCTTGTCATGGATCCAGCCAGTCTGTTGCCTGTTCATTCCCCACCATGCGGGCATGGCCTGGAGAAAATATCAAAAGTATGCTCACTACCCGTGACCTTACAAGTGAGGCAATTTCCATAAAAATCATATGAGTAAGCTTTCCCTCACCCAGCTGTAAGGTTTTTGTTCCTGTTCCTTGACCTGTCTGACAGTGGGAACCCTACCAGCAGCCATTCTACCTTCAGCATACCTTTAGTGCTCATTGGAGACATAACCACAAGCGAATTGAAAGTTGATTTGGCTTCATTCATTCATAAATTCAGTGCAGACTATAGCCTCTCTAAAATTTCTGATGTCACCTTTCCATTCTTCTTTTTCCAACAGCGCCGCTAGTTGTTTCCAAGCATTTCATTGAAGATTAAATGAGATTTCTCTGTTATGATTTAAGTAAATCTGTGAAAATGCTTCCTGGATACTTGGAATTTTACTTTGACATTATTTATGGTTTGGGTTGCAGTTTTATTTTACTTTATATTTTTAGTAATGAAGAATGAGAAGTAACAATGAAATTTCATAGTCTGTTTAAATCGCCCTTGACCACTGGCATCCTGAGGGCTAATAGACAGAAGTGGCTGGGGCAGAGAGGCAAAAACTGCACAAAGGAGTCTAATGGCTGTAAACCATGAGGCAGACCAGGAAGATGGTGGGGAGATAATGGTCAAGCAGACCTACAAACAGTTGGAGTCGCCAACTGAAGAGAGAGGGCCAGTCACAGAGATGAATGAGGGCAGGTGATATCTGCAGCATTGAATCTCATGGGCTTGTAAAAAATATTTGTTTTATATATTTGCAAAGTCATGACAACCATAATATTTTTGCTAAGTGTTTTTTTTTTTTTATTCTGTGTGAAAAAAACTCATTTAAATTATATTTAATATGTGTGCGCAATGGTTAATCTGAATAAAAATATGAACTCAGTATTAGAATTACTCTGTGCAGTAAAAGATAACTGGTCACACTCCGTTTTTGAAAGAAAATCAGATCAAACTAATTAAGTACTGTAGGATAAAACTGATATACTGTATACCTTATGGCAGGGCTATTCAACTGGCGGCCCGCGGGCCAAATTTGGCACACGAATTTGGCACACGAATGTCTATTGGCTCCCTGAGCAAGTGGCCCGCAGATCATTGTTGTATTAATTTTCTGCAAAAGGTCTACACAGAATGATATGTTGTTTTAAGGGGTATGTGAATTGATAATATTTCAGTGTGGGTATTTTTACTGTGTCATCCTGTTCTACTTGTTTGTTTTTTGTTTTTGTTTTTTTAAATCTACTAATTGAGCGTAAGTCCTCAAAACTAACTCAGTTCTTGGCCTCATACCAAATCTGAATCTACATCTGCCCCTCTGAAACCTTCACATCTTGAAGAGTTGATCCAAGTCTATTGTTAATAAAAATTACAAATATGACCAATCTGATCTTCTGTAATGTGGTTCGGTGATACCCACATTTCTATACTTTATATTGCTTTAAAAAAAAAAAACTTTCTCATATGAAATATTTCCCTGTGCAAAAATGTGTAAGTAATCCTCAATTTTCAGTTTCCTTCCGTGATCTCTTCTTCAAGATATTGTGGCCTCATTATTTAACACCCTGAAGTTGGCAATAGAACCACAACACTTTTATACAAATAATACTGGAGGGAAAGTTAAAGGCAGGCGAGCAAGCGGTAGACAGCAGTACATGTGGAGGGATAACTTCAGGAGTTGGATAAACAGCAGTCTCTGACAGTGTACAATAAGGATGAGAGACAGAATGTATTGGAGATTCATTACAGCCAACCTTTAATGTGGAGACAGCACCGGATTTATATAAAGTCGTTCAAATACCATATATATATATATAATTATGTCCGAAACAATAATCAGCTGAACAAAGAGGAATATGTGGCCACATGTGAATATATACAAGAATACAGTGTTATTTTTTGTTTTTCATCTGTGAAAAATTTTACAATGAACTTCTTATTGTTGTGTCACTGATACCAGAATGTAGCCCAGTCCGTGGTTTCCTGAGTTTGTCTTGCGCTCCTTAGATGACTTGGGTAATGGATTTGTTTAATACAGTGAACAACCTGTTGATATTTTGCAAGTTATTTTGTTACTTTGAATATATATTTATGGGAAGTGACAGAAAATATAGATCCTTTATTTGCTTTCCATTTTAAGACTGCAAACAACTTTAGTTCATTCAAATATTGACCCAGGGATCTTGAGTCCAGGTTACCTTTCCTGGTTACATGACTCCAAGGTGAGAACTGCATTTTGATTGTTCCTAGACAATTTAATGAAGCCAGTGTGGCACATTACCTTTCCTTTACCCAGTTTCCTCCCCCTCCCCCATGACAATTTTAAGCATGGCCTATTTTCTAGGGATGACATAATGACAGATGATCGCTTCTCAACACCAAGTTTTTGCATTTGAATTTGCATTGAGTTAAATTTATTTAAAAAATTACCTTGTATCCCAGTTGCCCTAAATGGGTGTCAGGTAAAGTTATAGGAAGTAAAGGCGCTCAGCTAGGTTAACCACATCGCCAGTCGAGTGTCGATAGATTTACAAAACTATGAGTCTAGCATTGAATGCCCAATACGCCGCTGGAATGTAAAAGGTCCTTTATTTTACTATTCTCCGGTCTGGGATGATGACATGGAAAAAGGTCCATTACCTTTTTTGCATTGAATGAAACAATCTATGATGTTCATAATAAAAATAAAAATATGTGGTACTTTACTGGAGTGGTTTCTTTGAAAAATATCTTGTAGAGATAACACAAGTTGTCTTTGCTATTGTCATAGTTATATATGATTTTACTGTACACAAATATAATTAAATAGTGTTTTTTTTTAAATATTGTTTGTCATGATCGGTGATGGTGCTTATGAAAGTCATATTTTCCCTCCCAACTGTTTGGTTTTCTTGTTTACACATGTTACAGTTGATTGATTCTGTTACTTAATTTATATGCTCCAATATTTGTGAAAGTTTTTCTTCTTCTCTTCCACCATTTACCTCGGGGGAGGGGGGGGTATTATTTGTGCATTTTTATCTGCCTGAGAGGCAAGGAACCAACAGTCTGCATACAAATGACTCAGATCTGTTAAACGGATGCACACGCAACACTTAGGTTATGGAACAGGGCTGCAGTCCAGAAGTGATGAACAACCAGAACTTTCCGCCAGAGTTTACAGCTGGTGAACGTGAAGAAGAAGATTTTTGTTCAGTTGCTCCTGATAATGTCACTCCATCTCTGTGGAGATGCTCTGTGGCAGTTGGTACTATGGCATTCTCATCAGGTGGCCAAACCCTCTCATTTGTTGTTCTTTAATGAATTGTATGACTGGTTTCAGTCCTAGTATTCTTTTAATTTCTTCATTCCTGATTTTATCTCTTCAAGTCACACTGGCAGCTCTCCTAAGACATCTCATCTCTGTTGTTACGATCTTCCACTTAGTTGTAGTAGGGGTCCATGTTGGCACTAGTAGCACAATGTCGGCCCCAAAGAAAACATTTTTATGAGATCTGCTCTAGTTTACAGAGGTATCTTTCTGTGCTTCGGAAACAGTGTTAATTCTCTCATAACCTGATTTGCTGGCTCTAGCAATTGGTCATCAGGCATTTTTTTTTAAAACTGACTTTGTCTCTCTAGTTGACCCCACCTAAAATGGCTACCAGGAAATGTTCCGGGAAATAATTATAGTGCAGACCGCTAAATGGGATCTCACATGTGGCGAATTTCTGAGTGAAGAACAATTTATTTATCCCTGGTAATTTTTCTTGCATGAATTATCTGGATAAAAGGAATTTCTGATAAGAACTATTTATTGGGTCCCTTTGAGTTCTCCTTATCATCAGGTCTACTTTAAAATGTGTGTTATTTATGACATACCCATTAAGAGCCATTGAGTCTATAAATATGTTGAGCTAGCACCGTATGCCAGTTCTCAGAGTCCCCAGCAACATATAATATGTGCATTTCTCTA